AATGAGTGTATGACCCCCTTGTATAAGGTTACCCTTGCTAGCCTTATTCATACTTCTGGTTAAGCATGAGTCATGTCTCTTGAGGCGAAACAAGTACCGTAACGAATGTCCTGGGGCAGTCTGACACCAATCAAATCCCATCCATCATCGGACTCTGCACAGCCTCTTCCCCTTTCCCAACACGCCGTGAGTGAAAGCGAGTAAATCAGAAAAGGGAGAGCGGTTGAACCGGGCACCTCGGAGAAGAAAAAATTCCAGGTGTGAGTCACAAGGTGTGCGCTCAGCGCCAACAAATCACACACCCAAGTTTTCGGGTGTGTGATAGTCGTAATGGTGCACCCGGCGGTCTTGTACCGACCACCCACACACACAACGCCTCGGAGATTGGGGGTCGTTGAAAGGTGAGAAAAGTCACAGATAAGACGCCCTCGCGTCAGCGGTGCTTCGGCGATGAGATGTAGCACCAGCGAGGCCACATACATGTCAACCGAAGGGGTGGAAAAAACTCAGAATAGAGAATCAAAAAAAAGCACGGTAAAGAATACAGACGACTCACTATACTTTGCCTGACCTCACCTTACCTTACGCCAGCTGTCAATCCATCGCCCAAATGTCGAAATTCGCAATCGAAATGTTGAAAGAGTGCGACATTCGTCAGCAGATGGATCGATCTAGCCCCCCCCCCCCCCCCCCCCCCCCCCCCCCCCCCCCCCCCCCCCCCCCCCCCCACCCCCACACCCCCCCCCCCCCCCCCCCAAAGATCCAATAGTGCATGAAATGGAGAGAGGGGCGCAGCCCCCGACGGGGCGGTGGCCCCCCCCCCCCCCCCCCCCCCCCGGTCCCCTGCCGCCCAAAGAAAACCCTCAGGTACCTTACCTCAACTCTCGGACTCAACCTCACCTCGTAGAAGAAAGGAAGGAAAAGGAAAGAAAAAGACCACGACACCAGCTTGCAAAAATTTCCAATGAAATGCGTTGTCGATTTACCTCGCATCAGCATGCAGCCTGGTCGTGGTGCAGCGCGCAGGCGCGCATGCCTCTCTCATTGTGCATGGTGGCAGCGTGTTTTTTTCTCAGATATTGCTGCCCAAGATTGGATTGGAACTTTCGCAGTGCAGCCCGAGTCCGCCACACACTCACACTCACACTCACACTCACACTCGCACCACGCACCACGCACTCGGCGCACTTCTGTCAAACGCTGCGTCATAACCCACGCGGTACCAAATTCACCAGCAAACATGGAGCAAAAGCCGGTACTTGAGTGACTTACCTCAGAGGGGGCGTGTCCCTTTCCCCATCATCCAAAAGATACATTCCATCGCGAGTACCACCACGATTCCATTCCGTTGGGTATCGCAACCTGATATCACCATTTGTCATTCTCTATAGAACACCACAGAAAAAAAAGAGTCACAACATCCTCAAAGGGGGTGTTGAGGTCCGGACAGACTTTACGTCCCCTTGCCCCTTGCCCCCTTGCGTGTCTCTCTCTTCAGCGCGACCCGAAATCCCGGAGACCCGCCTCGCACGCGGGAGATCCGGACGACGGGGGGCACCGGTCGGTGGCGAATCTCGAAATGCCCGTCCATCCGAGCTTTTCATTGGTCGTCATCACCGCTGGTCCCCTGGAACTTCAGAGAAAGAGAGGAACTGTGCCACAATTGACAAGGATTACAAAGCCGAGGCTAAGCCACATGTCTCCAGGGATCGCTTACCTCACCACATCCCTGACCAACCATCCTCGACCTATCCGGACCCAGGTGTTTGGGGTACATCGGCCGGCTGTGGCGTTTGGGCCTGGATTTTGCACTTTGTACTCTTAGTCTGGCCATCGGTGGTGCACCGGTGGTACCTGTTTCGTACGCGCGCGCGTCTTTCAACGACATGCCAAATCGAGGCTGTGGTATCCGTATACTGCGTACCTACACATACGTTGCTGCTGTGAGTGGCTTCGCGGTGATGATGCGGCCCTCGGCCATCTCGCTCTCGCTCTTTTCCGTGATTGCGTCGGGACGATGAACAAGTGCGAGCTCAGGTCACCTGGCTTCAGACCTGAATCCCACGGAGCCATTGTCTTCCCGAGGAAGGGAAGTCTGTGAACCTCGATTCCTCTCAGGCTCGGCGATACTCCTCTGGCGTGTCGAAATAGTGTCTTCCCCGTCGGGGACCCCTTGGTTGGCGGGCTAGAAATCAGTTGATGGCATCTCCAAGACAACGGATGGATATCCAGACCGCAAGTCCCAAACCCATATACCACAACCCTCATTGGCTCAACCCAGATCCCATCCCATCGGACCAGTCACCTCACACTTATCACCAGCCCTGACATCAAAAAACCCCCCTCCTCCAAAATAACCCCTCCTCCGATGCACAGCAATTCGCTACACTGATTCGCGAATTCTCACAAAAAAGATGAAATGCACCCCAAAATTGAAGAGAATTGCAAAACCCAAAACCTCCAACAACGAATTATAAACACTCACCAGTGGAACAAAAATGCAAATGCCCCTCTTGTTCAGCGAAAACCCTCTGCAAAAGCCCTGGCCATGCACACTCCCCCGAGAAACCCTCCTTCCACCCCCTCGGTACCAACCTACCTTAGCCCCAGTCCTATGTACAGTCCGGGCAGTCCAGCTCAAGTCCTGCCACCGCAGCCATCGTCCAGGGAAAGGTTACTGCGTAGGCATCCTCATCCCTCTTTCGATAGGGTGATATGGTCCATAAAGCTGCTGCTCTCAGACTGGAACAAGGGGGGCCATGCCCTGATGCCTATGCACCCAGTAGTGTACTGCCCGGCAAACGCAAGCAAGTCCATTTGGAATAAGGTGCCACCGCCCGGCGTGCGCCCAGGATGACAATGGAGCGGGGCCCATCAAGGTCAGTCGAACTGTCGAAGCAGAAGAGAGAGCCAAGACCAGAAAAGCCAGACAGACATGCATGACGTTGCGGCAAGGCGTGCAGACCGCAGCGCAGCGCAGGGCGACAGACGGGACCAGGGCACCATCCGTTGGCTTGCCGTCCCCTACCCTCACGAAGCATACTCCGTACTTCCTACATATGCCTCCTCCTTCTTTCATGGTCCTAGGCGCAGGCGTAGGAGCAAGCGCGTGCGGCGTGCGGCGTGAGGCGTGCTGAGGCTTCGCTCGCCCGTTGCCGCAACCCTGTCCATCGATGCGTTGTCCACAGGTCTACGGAGCCAGGCCCTCGCAGCTCAAACGCACGGAAAATCAAGGAAATCTTCAGCATCTTCAACGGATCTAGAACAACGTGGATGCGAAGACGATCAAAGAGGAACCCGGCGAGAAGGCCTGGCAAGGGGAGGTATCGCGAAAACAGACAGCGGCTGGTTGACCGGCCGGCCGGCCGCCCTTCCTATCGGTCTACTGATACACAAACAGCCAGGGGGGGGGCTTTGGAGCAGGGGCCTTGGATCTCTTCACTAGGAGTCTAGGATATTGACGGACAACTTTATCCGTCGCGGTCTTGCCGCTTACCGCTCATGATCAGCCCTTGATGATGCACTCCGCCAACCGAAGCGAAGGAAAGAAGCTGAGAAGAGCAAGAACCAGTGCCGCTCCTCCGCACCCGCGATCCACCGTCGAAACAGGCGCGACTCTCTTCCAGTTCCCACTATACTTGTTCCCACTTGGGTGCATGGCGAAGACAAAGGACGAGCAGCAAGACGTTGTATCCCGCATTTCTTCGCTTCTCGCTTGTCGCTTGTACCGTAGCCCCGGGGTGAGAGGGGATCGTAGTCCGAATCCATTACAGGATCAGCCAGAGGCTTAGTAGAACCCTAGAACGATGGGAAGCTCGGCTTCTGTGCTAGTATCGCTCTCCGTGTAGGTGAGCTGATCCTCTTGGTGGCCATGTGTATGTGTTGTCCAATTGTCATACGTCCGAGATACCACCACAATTAGCAAATCCATACGCGCCACACCGTCTCGTGATGGCGATGGCCTCACTGGAGACCACCTGATACTGGCTCGAACAATCGTATAATTGTACAGCCTTAGAAGTGATACTTCTGTGCGCGTCGTCGACGTCACCGAGCCCTAACATGACCCTGTCAATGGTCATCAGGCGCATGCGGCATCTTCAACCCAACCAGGGGCAGCGGGGATTTTCTCCCTCTCCCGTTTGAACCACTGCGCAACAGAAAGAAAGCAGAAACGACGCAAAAAAAGTCAAAATAGGGCATGAAGCAGCAGAAACCCCTCCTCTTCCCTCCTTCGCATCTGCAACGACATGCAATGCCATGCAAGTGCCCCGCCAGTCCGTAAGGTGGAATGCGGTAATGATAGGGTGGTTGCCATGGACGCAAAGAGTCGGTGAGGAGGGGCTTTCGCGTTGCGCCTGTCACATTTGCGGTCTGGGCCCGGAGTGCCGGGAAGAGAAGATAGCAAGGAAGGAAAAGAAGAATAACAAGGCGGTTGCCAGAGTCCTTGCCTATTTTTGGTCAAAAGTGGCTGTCAGTCTGAACGGTATTGGTCGAAGAAGGGCGTGGGTTTCGTATGAAGGGCGGAGCAGTGGACGAGGGCGGTGGTGTATATATTTGATGGCTCGGCAGCATCGATCATGGATGAACATGGGCGGACTGCATGGCGGTGGGCATACAGGCGAATAGACGTCAGTGAGGGCATCGCCAGTGGGTATTTGATGCGTGTTTCGATATCGAAAGGGTGGGTGTGTGCGATTCCAAGCTGGTCGTCAAATGGTTGCAATGCATCGGAGGTGTTGGGTTAGGGGAGCAACACCCAGAGACGCCAGTGACCGGAGAGACGGAGAGTCGAAGATGACGGGAATGAATGAAGCAGCCGGGAAGACAATGCAAAATGCGGTGGACCCCTGCCGGCCGCAGGATTAGGGATGCGGATGCGGCCCTTCGTAGTGCAGTAGCGTCCCCTCCCAGCGGCCCTGGCCGTCCGACCATCAACTTGACTGGCCATACGGGCTGGTGCGCCGGAGGAGGAGGAGGGGATTCTGTCAAGTTCGCGGTGCGACGTGTTCATTGACACCCAATCAGCACCAAGGCCCTCACTTGGGTGACCTTTAGAAGGGCTTCGAGGAAGTTTGATAGGTGCAGCAAGGAGGCCGGCAGCCTTGGGCTGTTGGACAGCAGTGCAGCAGGGACTCGTGAATGTTGGGACCGACCACATGAGGCTTTTCGTAGCGCGCTTCTCTGTCACTCTTCCTTCTCTCTCATACACTCCTTTTCCCACACCGCACACTACACTCTGCACACCTCGTTTGGTGTAGTATGGCCTGCCCTGATGAGCACTCCTATGAGTCACTCCGCAGCGACCGTCCCATTCCCGCAATTGGTGCTATGGCATGGTAGTAGGGCTGGCATGATGGGAGAGTGGTCTTGTATGATGAGAGACAGGGAGTGAAATGAGACGTGATCTATTCTCGGTGAGAGATGAAAAATTTTCACATCGGTGCCGGGTAAAAAAGCAAATTACAGTACGCACATAGAACATTTGGCGCAACCTGCCGCATGGGCGCGCATGGCACCTCGGGAGTCTTGGAGTCGGGGACTCAGGGCACACTCGCACACACCCGACACTGACACTAGCCGACGGGGGTCAACAATGACAACAATAACAACATGCAGGGAAGCAATCAAGTCTTCCCATGGTGCGGTAGGGGAAAGAAAAACAAACAGACAAGCCTGAACGGTCAAGGCCCGGCCTCGAGCCACTCACCGAGTGTTGCGGCCCGCGGTGAAGTGCAGGTGAAGGGAATGCCCAAGAGGTTTGCCGTCTTCTAGAACAAAATAATAGTTAGAAAAAGGGTATTTTTTCTCCTTGTGGTGGGAACCGTGGGATGAAGCGAACCTAGCAAGCGAGATCCAGGACGCACCGAAGCCCTGTCGTCACAAGCCAGCGCCAGAGCGTGCGCGCGCGGCATCTAGCCAGACGGCTGGGTAAGGGTGGACTCCATGAGAGACAAGGTCGAGGACTCGGAGAAGACGTTCAATGGTGGAGACGGGAGACGCTGGACCGGTGTGGAACCGTGTCCAACTGCAGCAGGGGAGCTGGAGCAGGGTAATGGAAATGTTGCAACCTCCATCAACTCCACCCGGCACGCTAGGAACAGCAGCCTGTGTGACGCTATCTCGCTCGCTATGCACCTGCGCTGCAGGGAGCAGGGAAAAGGGGCGTGTAGGAAGCAGGGCATCAGAAGCTTATGGCCTGGCGATATCCTCTCGAGATGCAAAACAGGCCAATTTTCCCATCTCAGTGGCTCGCCCCAAACAAGTGGCCCGTCGATAGATGGAGCAAACCGAGACTGTGGTTGTATATATGCGGTCAAGAAACCGGACTGATGGAGTCGAGGACGCCGAAGTCTTGACTAGTGGCATTCACTTCCTTACAGTAAAACTGACTGTATGGAGTAATACGGGTAGGTAAGTACGGATACGACTGACGAATCATGAAATGGACGTGTAAGTCGATCTCGGTCAGACCTGGCGATGCCGGGGTACCGGTGGCTATCGGTGAGGAACGGGAAAGAATTCAAGTTGATGCCGGTTGCCTCTGAGGTGAGATGTTGCGTTGGGACTCGGCTGGGCGAGGAATGCTGATATCGAATTGACTTTGCCTGCCGCCTACTCCCGGATGGTCCCCTTTCTTCGGACGTGTACTTGCTCCGTATAGATAGTCAGGTATTGATTCGATGTAGTTGTCCGTGAAGCGGGTGAGAGATGAGACGGATGAGCACGGACAAGAAGAGAAGAGAAAAAGACATCGGCCGAGACATGAGGCTGCTTGGTGCAAGACAAGACCGACACGACGCGACTCAGGTCGTCCAAGGGCTTGTATCCGTAGGCCAGGCCGAGCCACGACAACGGTAGTGCATATGCGTACGAAAGCAATGGCCGATAAGACCACGGCGGCAGTTTCGCAGGGTAAGCCGAGTCGATGCAGAGGCTCATAGCATGCCCTGCCCTACACATCGCAGCGCATCGGGCAAAAGACCACATGGACATTCCAGGGGTTCAAATCGTTGTAGTTGCGATCCCAAGGCGCCTGTCGCCTGTATTGCTCGCAGCGATTGCCCGGCCCTAGCTAATCCTCGACTGAAAAGGATCGAGGTATAGGTTTCCTTCAGTGGCTGCATTAGCTGAGCCCGCCGCTAGGGCAGGACACATCGGGGCATGTCGCTTCCGAAGGCTGACAGATGCATAGTCGCAGACGTCCTTGCGATCCCTTACAGCGCTCCTCTCCTGCTGTGGACTAATACTAGACATTTGTTTCGGTGAACAATGCCTGTACTGTGTAGAACTTGGAGTGTATTGCAGCAGTTCATAGGTGTAAGTGTGGATAGAGTTGGTGATAACCAGCCTCATGTTCCCAGGGAAATCCTAGGACAATCCCTCCGATAGTTTGTCTAGGATGGTATGACGAACACGAGGTCAGGACTTTTGCCGTGAAATCCAGCTTGTTGATAGTGATTTCTGTTGGCACCCAATGCTTGGGTGAGCAGCTGCTTGGGCCGCAATGAACCAGGGTCATGGTGCACTGCCTACTGCCCGCCAATTGCGTTGCCCTCGAGATCAGCAAGATCAATAAAAACAAACGAGGATGTGAGGTGAGAAGCCAATGAATGTGGGCGAAATTGTAGATGCCGGACAAAAATACCAGGCCCGAGAGCGGCCACAATTTGGCAAATTTTGGGTTAGTTGGCCAGTGTGTAGCAAGCGAGCCAAGGTGAGACAAGACCATCGCCGGCCTCTCCAGCCACCTACCCCTTTCACCCTCTGTTGACAGCAGGAACCACGCGCAGGGGTGAGGGGAGATATTTGACCGAGTACACCGTACACCGTACACCGGGAACACTGGCCACGGTAGGCAAGGTGAAGTGAGGCCGCCTGGAGGCTGGAAGTTGGGACGCGCGGGCAGGTCGGTAGAGGGAGGACGCCATGACGAGCTGGTGGCGGACCGAGTCTTGAAGGGGGCAAGCCGTGACAAGTAACCCCAACATTCGAAAGGGGCTACAAATAACGGTTTGGGTCTGGCTGAATGGCAGACTTGGTCGGTAGTAGTCGATGGAGGCGTGAGGGGCGAGGGGCGACGGGGAAAGTATTCGAGTTCATCCGGAGGGCCCAACATGGTGGATTTGACTCCAGAGGGCTGGTGGCCTAGAGGAAACCAAAAGCTAGCGACTGGCGATGTAGTGCCAGTTCTGGGCCACTCACTGGATGGAGTTGACTGAGGTCATGGCCACTGAGTCTGGAATGAATCCCATTCGATGGAGCATGGCGAGGAGAGTATCCACATGCGTCGTTCCTGGTCGCCGCCGCTGGTCTTCCGTCCCGTTGGTTGGCCTGCGATTTGTGTTCGCCTTCGAGTCAGCTCCGGCGATTGTGGAGTCTGATACAAGCAGTGCCGTACGGTCGGAGCTGAATGGTAGCGGGAGAGGCAATATGGGCCCTGGGCAAGAGTCATTGAGTGTGCGACAGTGACGAATATGGGCACTGAGACGAGAGTTTGGAGACTAGAAGGATTGATGGACAGGAGGAGGCAAAAAAGCTGCATACGCACTGTAACTTAGCATGCCAAGAAAGTACGTGATTGACGTTCAAGTTGGGGATGCTCTTGGGTTCATGCCAGCTGTGGCGTACGCTCTAACGCAGGGGCATGTACGGATATTCGTATTGACAATAGCCGTCGTCCGAGGATGCGGCCACCCGAAATTTCTGGCTGGGAATCGGAACGATGCATCGTAACGGTATATTTTGTTTGATGTTTCTTGATGTTGCCAATGGTTCCCATGAAGTTCGTGGAGAAAATTACGTTGAAGTCCTGAGGTGACGCCCAACGGTGGTTGACCACATGAAGAGGTACGTACATTTTGGAGTCGTGTTATTGGAAGGTGCGCAACTACCTTACCTAATGTGACTCTTTCCTCCTTGTCCTTCCTGCCTTCTCTATCCTGAGATAGTAGTCGTTGCTCCTCTTAGGTGAGCAATCAACCTGGAAGGAGGCAGGTGGAAGATCACAGCAAATCTGGAGAGGGCAAGCGCATACTTTGGCAAGCTGCCTCCTCTTAATTGGCTCTCACGATAATGCGAATGGCGTGGAAGTGCAGGGAAGGGACGGCCGTTCTAGAAAATCGGGAGGGGGCCACCATGCCAATTCTGGCCATCACTGGGCTCTTGCTGCATGTTCCGCTCTCCCGTCACCCCGCGTTGGGGGACTTGGGGTGCATGTGATGAGCGAACTCCTCCACTCAAGATGCGAACCTCCGCAATGTCACTCTGTCACGCATCATTCTTTTCCAATCGTCATACTCCATATGGTAGAGCTGCTCACCCTCATGTTGAATGGGCGCTTGTTCGCCAGTCACTTGACATTGCACATTGGTAGAAACAACGTAGGTCACTGGCTGCAGTTCATGCTATTCATCACCTGCCATATCGTACCGCAATACCACACTATGAGCCTCCTTCCTCTCACTGGTGAATCTCACAACGATGTGAATACGTGCAACTTATTATCAGCTATCTATTCCGTACATACAGAAAACTCACTATAGTTGAGGCTTTGCTCATTTTTCTCTCTATGCACACGCCGACTACCCAGTCGTGCCTGCTACAACTTCCAGGTGACTAGCGATGCGGGGGAAGTATGTTAAGTGGGAGGAATATACGCAGCAAATGGCATCACAGCATCTCATCTGATAAAAGTTGCACTTTGATGCCCGTCATCCCCAAAAGCCACTCGTACCCCTCCCCCTCCCATGCCAACGTGATCCATCATGCATGCAATCCCTGGGCAAGGCTCAAATGTGCACGTACGGATAGTTAGCTACCTATTCGTGCTTTGGGGATACGTAGATCGTCGTTGCAGCTTCAACCTCTGAATGTTCCTCATGTATTCTTGCATCTGACTTGCTCCTGCCTCTATGCGCAATTACCTCGTCAAAGTACCTACAAGGACGTTCCTTCCTTCTGACTCCTTCCGTCCTCACATGCAATGCAGCTTCCTTAATACTTCTCCTCTTCCTCTCTCTCCCACTTCACATCATTTGCCTGCATCCATCTGTTTTGCCCACGCTTCATCATCATATTTGCTGCTTCACCATCCCGAGGACAGGCAGCTGATACGAAGCAGGTGACAGCGCCGCTGCCTGCTCCTGCTCCAACGCATCATCTATACAACTCGTCCTGATAAAAGGGTCCAACTATTGCACCAGACAGCCGGCACATTTCTCTAGAGAGCTTCCAAAGTCTCTCGACCCATCGAATAGCCGGCTTCTACCTTATTGCTCTGCTCGATCGCGGTCGCGTCAGCGGTCAGCACCTGGTCAGCATTCACTCCAGTCAAGATTACCAAGCTAGCGAGTCGATACTACAAACCCCAGCTCTTAGCTTCTTCCCGCCGTGCAGCACTCTTGGCGTGCAACCACCAGCCGCGAACCGTTTTTGTCCAGTCCCGCTCTTCCAACTTCCGCTCCCTACGGATACAAGACACCACGGACTGAATTTGCTCATTTCGAGCAACGGCAGATCTCATCTGCCATCAGGACGTTCGAATCAACCACGACTCGACGCCGACTCAAAAGACGTGCGGCTGCCGGGGATCGCGGACAGGAAGAGAAAATTCTGATCCATCCTCCCGGCTCGCGACTGGGATCCATCAAGCGCGAGACCCCCGTCCTTCTCTTCCACAACGGCCAACCTTGCCTTGCTCGTCCGAACCGCCTCACCGAGGGCGCACGGAGCAAGATTAGCAGGCAGCACCTGGCCACGACCACACAAGCAAACATCACCACCACCGCCAGCTTCAATAACACGCACCAGGCTCACCCAAACCAATTCGGGAGCCGATCCTCTTCACACCTCTGGCCGGGCGCAAAGTCAAAGTCAGCGAAACATTGACTATCGTCGTACACGATGCCATTTTGAATCCCATTGATTCTCTGTGGAATCCCGTCGATATTGCAAAGCCAAACCACCAAATCATCTCCATACCAACAACCCCATTTGAGTTTTCCAAGCCTTTTCGGCTCGTCGTCGGCGGGTGGGCTCGTGTTTCGGTGGCCTTCACCTTGACACGGTGTGATTCACCCTCGGAATCCCAACAATTGCAACCCTGTGTTGGATGATCAAGGACCAGACTGCGGCCAGCCACGTTACGCCAGGGGAACGAGAAAAATTTTCACCTAGGACGCTCTAGCGGCACTGGCCCGGTAAGATTCCCCCGTGGCACCGTTGGAGACCTTTTTCCGTCTCTCTTTTGGTGTGGTGGAAGCCATCTCCAAAATTCAAATTCCACGCCTGTTCGTGCGAGGACCCAATTTCGCTTACTCGTCACCGGTAAATTTACCCACACGGCAGCGCCTACTTTCACAAGGATCACTGGGCTTTATCTCTGGAACTTTTTTTTTCTGGTGCCCCTCGCCCCTCTTGCTCTTCCACGAAAAAGTTGCGCCCGGGGACTAGGAACCGCCAGCCGGGGGTCCCACGGACGTTGGCGTCGACTCATTGAAACGACAAGGCCTCCCAGTCCTGAGTCTGCCTGTGTGGTCAGGGTGTTAAATCCCCCCGGCCGTTAGGGCGCCGGAGTCACTATCAGAAGCGGTGACCGGATTTTGATACTGGTGTGGCTAATTTCAGCGTCAAGGTGTGAATATCGATCTTCACCTTTCGGTGGGCGAGGGCCTGCTCATTCCCATTCCAACCCCGGCGAAAGACCAATGTGGAAGGTTCAATTAGGACATCGATCAGAATCATCTTAGACCGCCGAGATAGAGGAGAGAAAGTGTGTGTCATTAGCCGGGTACGGTGACTCGAACAATCAGAAAAGCAGTCAAAGGGATCCAGCGCCAGTGCCCAACGTTGGGAATCGAGTTGCAACTTGCAGCAGGCCAAAGGGCGACTGCAGGCAAACGCAAGTGGCCTGGACGACGAGGTGCATTCTTCACTGCCACCCCTTATTTCCACGGACGTGCCTTTGGGGGCGCGATCGTGTGTGTGTGTGTCTTCTATTTCCAGGAGCTTCTTTCGAGTCAGCAGCGAACCAAAGCGCACTTGCATCGAGCTGTGCCACGAGTACGCTGCACAACGGTGATTGACATGTTCTGACCGGGACTGTGGCCGACTAGACTGGAGTCATCATCACCGTCGTTGTCGACCACGACTACTGCAACTTTGTAAGCCCCAGCAAAGCAGCCTAAGGTGGTCTGCGCATTGGTGCGTCGCGACAGCTGGCTGAACCACGGACTTGAAGGGCTTGGACAGTCTGAGGATCTGAGTCGCTGCTCGCTTCCGCGCGATTTTGAACAAACGCACAAACGAAGGACGAACAGAGACGCAAGACCAGACAACAGAGTGTCTATTGGTCTATCGCCGAGAGGTGAACAAGCCAGGGAGAGAGACAAGCGTTCACCCAACGTGTAAAAGGGGTCCAGTCGACACCGTACGGTGTAGGCCTTCGCGTAGGAGGCTGGTGTTGCAGAAGGGAGTACCCAGCAGCAGCGACAAAGCATCAGGATTCTCATTGGGAGCTGCCATCTACTGTTCTCGATCAAGCATCCATCTATCCGCCCACCGCGGCGAGCTGAACAGGGTCCCGAGGTGTGAGTGATCCCTCCTCTCCCTTTACTCACCACCAAAGCTGATCAAGCAGGACAGAGAACGCAGAACAGCGCAGAACAGCGGCGAGCACGAGGTACTTTGTTGGAAGTCGAGCCATAGGGACACGCCCCCCTCCAGGAACTTGTCGTCTGTGTTCCCTCCTAAGAGGGGGCGCTCTAAATTGGAACCAGGTTCCGTGTGCTCTTACGCTAAGGCAAGCCAGCCACCCCTGCCACCCCTGCTCTTCTCTGCAGCAGGGGACAGGGATCAGAAAAGGGAGCTGCTTTGGTTCCTCCGGGCAGGCCACCACGCCCTGGTGCGAGACTTGCGAGACTTTGGACTACCACCCCCTGTGGACCTCTTTCGCGCGCATTCCCACTCCTCCCTTCTCCTCTCCCACAAAAACTGGGAAAACGCACCGAGTAATTAAATACCACGCTGCCCTCACCACTACTCTTGAACTTCTCCTCTCTTCTCATGTTTTTGGCTTCTGCCAATCAATGAATATTCTTTGACATTCACAGCTTCGGCTTCGGCTACCAACCACCTTCAACCCATCCTCGACAAAAGAGTCGTCATTCGTTGCTTCGCTGGCGTCCTCCGAGAAGCCTCCAGCAACTTCCATTCATCACACACTACCGACGTCGAGAAGATTCCTTCCCGAGCTCGGTAATCTGGTTTCCATCCTTGGTCATCGAGGGTAACCTGTAGCAGTTATATCAAACTTGGTCATGTTCGGGCACAGAAGACAAACTTCCTCTCCTCTATCATCCGACCGCATACCAAGGTGACTTGCTTCACCTTTTCTTCGCGCCTCGACATCGGCGCGACACCCTGGCCCTGGAATCACAACCATCCGCATCGACACAACCTACCGACATTTTGGGGGGAGTCGTGAGAGCTAGCAGAGGAAGCTGCTAGAGAAGAAAAAGTAGAAGACAGATTTGAAGAATACCGTGGACGCCTCCCATCGACCTCGCCACAAAGAGCCATCAGTCAACATGGCCTACTCATCCCCCTACCCCGGATCTCCTCCCGACGAGTACTACTACGCCCGGGAGCGATACCAGTCGGCAACGCCAACTCCATCCCCTCGGGGGTCCTCCAGCTATTACTACCCGCCCGGCTCAACCCCGCAGCGTCCGGCAACCCGCTCCCACTTCCATACCACCAGCAGTGGCTTCAGCGAGTACAGTCCCCGTCCGCCGACGGCGTCGCCTCGATACACGAGCGATGGCTACTATGCCACGGCAAATGTGAGTAGTGGTCATCATTCGCGCAAGCATTCATGGGCCACTCCGTCGCACCCACCGCGCGAGCGCCGATCTTCTTTTGTCTATGTACGGGCCGCGACGCCCCACGGAGAATCCGACGATGAGATTATCGAAGTGGATGGCCGTACTTATCTGGTGCCGGGCAAGTCGTCACGGGCGAGGAGCAAGAGGCATTCTGTTCAGGAGACTTTTTACTATGAGGATGGTCGAGGATATCCCACTGATTACCGTTCCCATGCACAGAGCGGTTTTGCCTACATTGAGCGCGACATCCCAGCGTATGAGCCTCGCCCCTCCCGTACCACTGCCAACGGCCACTCTCGCCGTTCCTCGACTTCGGTTCCCCAGAGGCCCTCCACCGTTCGCCCCGGCAGCAGTTCTCAGGCATCTAAGAAGGCTCAGCCTCAGACTGAGACCAAGAAGCCCACGCCACCCCCAGTTTCTCGCGCGGCTACTGAACAAGACGCCAAGAAGCACAAGATCCCCTCAGGATACTCACTCAAGAACTGGGATCCCACCGAAGAGCCCATTCTTCTCCTCGGTAGCGTCTTCGACTCCAACTCCTTGGGCAAGTGGATTTACGACTGGACTGTCTACCACCATGGCCCTGCCACTCCCATTTCTGACATGGCAGGTGAGCTCTGGTTGCTGTTGATCCAGTTGGCCGGCAAGATCAAGCGCGGAGAGGAGACTATCGAACGCGTGCGCAGCACCGAGAAGAAGGAAATCCTCGATGACTTCATCGATGCTGGTGAGCGTCTGACTGATAAGCTCCGCAAGCTTCTTAAGACTTGCGAGGCTCCCATGCTCAAGGCCAGCAAGAAGTCCTCTTCCCTCGGCAAGAACGCTGGTGTCCAGTTCGTCGAGACTCTGTTCGGCATCGAACGCGAGTTGGACAAGACTGAGCGATTCATGCAGGGTGTTCGTCTCTTCATCCTTCGATTCGACGCCAACTGTGATGACATCCTCAAGAACCCTGAGAAGTAAATGGCCCCCTTATCTTTGGACACATTCCCTTGGTTTCCTTTCTGTCTATACTGCCACATTCCATGGACGGAGTACCATCAAGGAAAGCCAACGGATGAACCATCGGAGCCACACCTCGTTACCACCACAAAAAAACCAAGAAAACCCAATATCGAACCGACGGATGGAGTTGCCAATTGTACGATTAGGAATCTGTTTTCCGGATCTCATTTTTCCTCGGGAGTTTCCACTTTCATCTCATTGAAACACGACGGATTTGGATTTCCCTCTATTCATCACCATAAACATAATCTGGCGCAAGCTATTATGCATCGGGGATACACACCAAGGACTTTTTCTTTGCGATACCCAAGATACCACACGGACCCGAACCTACACGGGACGAGAACGACACGAACGAACGAACGCACGGCATCATCGACCTTGTGTTACAGGGATGGACATCAAAAGCATGCTTTGGTTGCGAAATGATTACCACGGGCGACTGGAACACGTTTCAGTCATGGAAAAGGATAGCGTGCTTACGCTTTTATCAGGAATGCTTTATTGTTTACTGGGCCTGGTTCAACACTATTCGGAACCTCGCCATCGCAAAGTTTGCGCGCACAACAGGGAAACAGCTTTTACGTGTAATATCGTCGTTGATTTGCAAGGACGCAGCCTCGACCAGTTGAATTTTATCTAGACGGATGCACGGGATTTGGTTGTTTAGTTTTGTTTTTGATTCTTGGATTGCACTACAGCATCCACAACACGCCGCACTGGAAGCGCAGCTCGTCATTTTATTATTACTGTTCACTCGGCTCGATTATTACGAGAGTCGAAACGCTTTTCCTTTCGAACTGGCAGGAAGACTACGGAGGAGCTGGATATACCCCTTCCTTTCCTTGTTACCGGCTCCGCGGGGGAAGCGAGTCTGAGAAATAGTTGCAGAAATCAATCAGTATCATTCTTAACACTTGTCCCCTTTGATACGCAAAATGACATGTATGGTTGAGTGACATGGGACGTGGTTGACACCAACGTCATCCTCGGACAACATCTCTAGTGTCCATGACCGGGGTCCTGAGTTCCCACGTGGCTCCGTTCAGGGAAAAAGAGAACCCCATCGTGAAGAGAAGAATCCTTGTTCGTCTGTGCGGTTGTTAGGGATTTGGCGGACGGTGGTTCGATCGTGAGGATAGTTATGAGGTCATTTGACCAGCCAGCCACCCTTGTAACTCTTGTAAGCGAAGGGCTCCGCGCGGGGCGGTTCGGGGGGAAGCATTTCATGCGACTAGGGTCCTGCTATGCGCGACATCACGCGGGGGTTATGGTTTATACCGGAGGCTGACGATTATCATTAGGTAGGTAGGTAGCTCATTCATGGATGCGGGAGCTGAGGATTCGGGTCTGGGTGGTGCGGCGCGGAGGCAGCGGGAGTCGGACGACGCGGGAATCAATGGATCGTGGGATTTGTTCATCCGGTGTGTCCGTTTGAACGGGGGAGGTTTGGAGCCTCTGTTGGTTTGGGGGGGGCGTGAGGATTAGGGCTGGGAGGAGTTGCGAGACATTTGAGAAAGTTGAGGCTGAGAGAGAAATGTCGATTCATCTGGTCTGTGATTACTTGCATATCACGTCCGGTCTGATTTTCTTCAAACTCCACTTTTTGTCATGTTTGACATCTTGATGATTCTGGACTGGAACTGGACTGGAATCCTGCTTTCTGGATCTACGGTATGCATTCTTGTCACGGATAGCGAGCCGAAATACCTTGCAAGTTTACGGAGGAGAGATGTGTAGGTGTCTTGAACCTAATCTAGTCTCTCTTTCTTCACACACGCCCTCGAGTTGGGGCTCTTTTGCGCTGGAGAAGAATGCTGGAATTGCGTCGAGGATTGAGGTTTGGGGGGGAAAACAGAAACCGTGATTCGGAAATGCCAATGTATTCGGTGTTGGAAAAAATCCCTCAACGGGCTTGCGTGTAGCTGGATCACGGATTGTCTCTTACTGATGTATGCCAAGTGCAAGACGGTGAGACTGGTTCTTGTGAGTGAGACTGTCAAACTTTTGGCCTTGACTCGGTGCCGCGGAGTCATCACGCGGAACGGGGCGGACGCGTGGACTCGGAGAGCGGAAAGGAGTTGTTGAGCTGCGTTTCCGTCGGTAAAAAGGGTGACTTGCCGGCCTGCCAATCTCTGTGTGGGAGCGTTGTGTATG